CTTCCTGAGTCCCCAGAGAAAGGCTGCCTGTGATCTGCACCACCCCCCTCCCCACGGGGGCCACAAGGGACTTTGAATCCCCCCATACCCACCCCACCCCCCGCTATCCCCCAGGTGCCTTGGAGGAAAGGCCTGGCAATCTGCGTCTGAGAAGCCAGACACGTCTCTGTGTCTCCGGGCGGTTCACAGTTCCTCTCTGACGACTCCTGTGGGGTGCGGCCATCCAGAGCCCACTTGGGTTTGTGTTTCAGGGCCCCGAGGCGAATAAGCATTTGAAGCACATGGCTAATGCAGCTGAGGAGCCAGTCAGCCCCTCAGAGTGAGGGACGGTCCTCCCTGGACAGCACAGCCCTGGAAAGTAGCTGCTATCCATACCTGTGCCTAAGCGACGAAGAAAAGGCAGCTTAGGCCACGGCTTTTCCTCAGTGTCCCTAGGCTACGCTGCGGCTTCGGCCCGAGCCTCCCTGGGCCAGCCCGCACCTCCTGCCTCCGGCCTGAGAGAAGGCCCGCTTTCAGACACAGTGACACGCCAAGGCCCAGACGGACACACAAAGGGACACCCAGGGATGGCTTTCAGTTCCCCAGTTCTACTGGGCAGGGGGGATCATCCTGCAGCCGCAGAGGCTGGGAGAGGGCGAGGGCTTCCCGGGGCCATCCCTGGCATACTTGCGCAGGTCCAGCTGCGCGCGCAGGGCCTTGCCCCGGAGTGCCATCTTGGCGCTGAGCCAGACGTCCTGTGGGGAAAGAGGCAGGGCTGTTCCATGATGCAGAAGCACGCGGCCCACTTCTCCTTGTCCCTGGGCAGCCCTCCCTCTGGCGGCCGCACCATGGTCATTCTGGACAGCTGGACCTCAGGCTGGTCGGGCGGGACCAGGGCAATGGTGACGCTGGCAGTGACGGCGATGGTGGTTCCTGACGGTTTGATGGTGCAGCGCGGGGGTGCCGTCACCCGCAGCTCCAGTTTCAGCGGGGAGTCAAGCACTGCCGGACTCTGGGGACAGTGGGGAGAGTTAGGTCCCAGCCCCGTTCCCTCTGGAGGCCTCCAGGAAGAGGGGAGGATGTAGCCTCTGCCCTCTGGGAGCTTCTCACTGCCGTCGAGTTGAGTCTGACTCACAGCAGCCTGTAGGACAGGGTAGAACTGCCCCTGAGGGTTTCTGAGACTAACTACAAGGGAATAAAAGGCCTCTACTTTCTCCCTCGAAGCGGCTGGTGGCTTCGAACTGCTGACCTTGAAATGAGCAGCACACTGCGTAACCACTCTGCCGCCAGGGCTTCTTCCTCGGGCAGCCCAGGGCCTGACAAACACAACACCCTACCTGGTCTGGCTTCCAGAAGCCTCCTAGACCTGCCTGTGTCTCTGTGCCTTTGTCCTTCTCATTGCTTCGCTGGACTGTCACCACTCGAGAGCCGTCTCAGGGACGGCCTCTGCACGAACCACCCCAGCCTCGGTGTGTCTCCTTTTGGCGAAACTGCTGGGCTCTTTTCTCCCAGGAGCCAAAGCTGACCAAAGGCTTCGCCCCTTCACCAGATGGGCTTCACAACGCTCCACGTGTCCCCGCTGCTTCAAGCCCAATAGCGGCGAGGCAGGTACTGTTGCCAACCCCGTTTGAGAGAAGCTGAGAGGAGAACGATGAAGGAACTTGTCCAAGGTTACGGAGTTATTAAGATGCAGGGTTGAGATTAGGATGCAGGCAGGCTGGCAACAGTTTGGGCTCTTACTTGTCCATAAAGGCGGCCTGTTGCCGAAGAAAGCAATACAAACGCCTGACTGTGTGCCAGGTGCTGCTCTTGTGTTGTGGTTCACCCCTCCCTCCTCACTGCTCCATCAGAGAGAGAGCCAGGCAGACCCGGGAGCTCACATTCAGAGTCAGGTTCAAGTCTCAGCTCCCCAGTCACAACACTGAAGCCAGGGCGTATCCTTTCATGATAACTGAAATGCTGCTTTTGAAATATTTAACCCCTGTGCCCCTCACCTCCCAGGAGACAATAATAAGCCCAAGAATACACAGACTCCCAGTGAAGCCTCACCCACAGCCAAGGCTAGGCCCGCCCACCCTCCACCCTCACCACGGGCCTGTGGGAAACACAGGGACCGGAAGTTGGCACCCCACCTACACGTGCCTGCAAACTGCTCAGCAGTGAGGAAAGCCTGGCCACGGCCAAGAACCCAGGCTCTCTGTCCGCAGCCGGGCCGCACCACCCTCCGGCCACACCCCTCCCTCCCTCCAGTGCTCACCAGAAGGACAATGCTCCCAAAGTAGGTGGCCCGGAGCAGCATGTCCAGATCGTGGGGCACCTGGACAGGCAATGGGGGAGACGAGGTCACCAGGAGCTGTCCCTGGCCCTCCCTTGCCCTGCACCCCGCTCCCGCCACCGCAGGGGCCCTGGTGTACCTTGTCCCCGACCAGAGAGAGCCGCAGAGCCCCGGCCCGGAAGTAGCTCTCCATGGCCGAGTCGAAGAAGAACTCTGAGAAGGCCACATACACCATGCGCCCCTCCTCCTGCAGCTGGGGCTCCACCGCCTGGTTGGGTAGGCTCCAGTTGCTCTCAGCCAAAGGGAAGAAGGCCCCCTGGTGTGGGGGTCAGGGTTAAGATAGCTTGGCTCTGCACCGAGGCTGACCAAGGTGTCTCCTCACCCTGTCCCAGGTCTGGAGGGCCCAGGACTCACATCTCTTAAATCAGGCATCAAAAAAGGGCAGCCAGGAGCTGCGAGGGGTGACCCCACCCACTGGACCAGGGCAGACGTCACAAGATGGGGCATTTGAGTGGGTGTGGAAAGCTGAATGGCTACATTATTAATGGCTACTATTGGAGATATGAAAAATATATGTCATCGATCAAGGGTGGGGGGAGGGGAAAAAGGAGCTGATAACCAGGGATCAAGTAGAAAGATATTTTCACAACGACGATGGCTACATATGTACAAGTTTGCTTGACATAATTGATGTATGTATGTATAAGAGCCCCCAATAAAATGACTTAAAAAAATAGCTACTATTTGTTGTCATCGTGTTTAGCTGCCATGGAGTCCGGCGTCAACTCAGTAACCCCACACGCAACGGAGCCGAAAGCTTCCCCAGGCCTGCGCCATCCCTGTGACTGGCTAGGGAGCGGACTGCAGTGAGCCGCGGGGTTTTCTGCGGTTGATCTGTGGCAACAGCTCGCAGGCCTCTCCTCTTAGTCTAGCTTTGTCCAGAAGCTCCGCTGAAACCTGTGTATCGACACACAAGCTTCCTCGGGAGGGAATCAAACAAAAAATCCCAACTCACTGCCATCACGGCGATGCTGACTCACAGCGACCCCCATGTACAGGGCATAGAAGAACTGCCCCCTTGAGTTTCCGAGACTAATTCTCTACAGGAGTAGACAGCCCCATCTTGCTCCCGTAGTGGTTTCGAACTGTTGGCCTTACAGTGAGCCACCCAATGAGTCACTGCTATGCCACACTGAGGATTACACCACTGGCCTCATAGCTACATGGTAACAATTATGTGTTGGATACAATTCAAACCCTGTAAGGAGATCAGATCCTTTAAATGCATAGAACACACATCAAAGGGGTGTGTCTTCTTACTGTACTGGTTCCAGGGAACAAGGAGCCCGGGTGGCACAATGATCAGCTGCTGACTCAAAGGTGGGTGGCTGAAACCCACCCAGCGGTGCTGAGGGAGAGAGACCTGCCCCTCAAGAGCGCAGCCTAGAACAGCAATGGGGTCACGATGAGTCAGCCTTGACTCGGCACTTCACTGCAACAACATCATGGAGAAACGGGCACAGAGGCGTGAGCCGAGATTTGAGCGTCAGCGCTCTGGCTCCAGGCCCTGCGCGCTGGAAGCCTGCGTGATTCCACCAGGAGGAGCGAAGGGTAGCCATTATGAACAAGGCTGGTCCCATGCTAGTGGAGTGGCCTTGGGCAAGGGACCTCTGCTCTCTAAATAGGTCTCACTTTCCTCCAGCGGGTGCAAGAGGAGCGCCTGGCCCTGGGTTCTAAAAAAGATGAACTGAGTTCATGTGCAATCGTTTTATACGTCCAACCCCTTCCAAAGGAAGGAGGAGTAGCATGTGCAGAAGTCCTGAGGCGGAAAAAACAAGCCTGCTAGCAGAGTCGGTTCTCATTCATAGCGCCTCTATAGGACAGGGTGGAACTAACTCTCAAGCCTCATCTTTCTCTCGAGGAGTGGCTAGTGGGTTTGAACGGCTGACCTTGCATTAGCACTCCAACACTTAACCCACCACCCCAACAAGGCTCCTAAGGTCAGAAGCATGAGGCATAGTTGGGGGGGGGAAGGAGCTGCAGAGAAAGAGGAGAAAGTTAGAAGGAGGGGGTGGGGGGTGGGGGGCAGCAGTAAGAAGGCTCCCGTGTCAGAGGTTGGGCCCATCTCTTTAGGCACCCGGGAACCATAGCTTTCTACCGGACTGGCCTCATCCAAGCTGTGCTCCAGGAAGAGAAACTTAGAGAAGGAGGGAGCCAGAGGGGGTCTGGTAGGGAGGTGGGGGCACCCCGGCAGGCAGCTCACCCGGAATTCCATGTCCAGGTTGCTGGCAGAGGCCACTGGATCCTTCAAGAGGGAGTAGTCAATGCCCACGAGCTCATCCACAGGACCCCTCACTGAGGGAGAGGCTCCAGTCACTCAAGGCTGTGTGACGGTGGGTGAGACGCTGAGCCTCTCTGGATCTCAGTTCCTGCTCCACAAAAGGGTGGTACCAGGACTGCCTTCACAGGGCTGCTCTGGGGACTGAAGGGCTTTTCAGTCTGGCTGCATCAACCGCTCGGACTACGGGGGATTCGGCAAGTCACGGCCTGCAGGATGGGCAGCAATTCCCTTTTCGGGTTGATCCCGCTGCCTCTCCTCCCCTCCGGTCTGAGTGCGGGGCATGACGGGGCAAGATCTCAGCCCCGCTCACAGGCAGAGACCACACATTTGGAAGAAAGAAATTCCCAGTGTTTCAGGATTTGAGCACCTACTAAACACCAGATGGCGAACAAGGGGCCCTGGCGGGGGGTGGGGGTGGGGGGTGGGGGGGCTCCAAGAACAGGGAGCACTGATCTGATGATACCCAGCAAGTGGGCAGAGGTGGCCAGATATGAACTCCTGGCTGGCCTGCACAAGGGCTTAGATGGAGCCCACTCAGGGGCCGCACACCAGCCCACTCCCTAACCCCACTCCAGCCCCTCAGCCCCAACTCACCAGGCACGGTGGCCAGGAGGGAGTTGAGCAAAACCATCCCTGCGTGGTGCAGCACTGGGCAGATCTGGGGTGGGGGGTGGGGGGCGCCAGAGTCAACGCCTTATTAGGCAAAGCCCCCGTGCCTATCCCCACTGCCCCCTGGCCGGACACTGCCCCCACCTGCTGGTTGAGAAGGAAGCGCATCCCCGAGGCAATGAACGTGTAGAGAAAGTCATACACCTTCCTGTGGGGAGACAAGGGGCCAGCTGAGCCTAGACCCTGCCCCTCTCATAGCTCGGGTCCAGGAGGAGTCCCAGCACCCAGAGACGCAGCACTGGGCCTTCATGCCCACCAGACTGATTCTCAAGACCTTCTCTCTCTCCTGTGCCCCGGCCACCCCACCCCCACCCCCACCCACATTCACCACAGCTCCCCCTCTTGCTCTGAGCCTCCTCCCTCCTTCATGGCTGCCCTCCCATCCCCGCTCAATGCTCTCTGCCCTGTTCTGACTCTGAATTCCTCCTCCTACAGGCAATCAGCCCAGAGGACCCCCTCTGAACCGACAGAGTCCTGCCGCCTCCGTCCCTCTCTCATGGCTCAGATGACAAAGGTGGTGGCCCTTCAGAGGGGTCCTCAGGGCCCAGAATCCATCTACCTTGCTGAAGAAATTAAAAACTGACATCAGATAGTAAATCTACCATCTTTGAACCAGCGAAGGTCCCCTTCTCAGCACACATCCCTGAGCTATTGGCCTAAGAAACCCACTCCGGGGCCCACTGCAGGGACGCTAGCCCGCAGGAGTCCTCTCCCACAAGAGGCTAACACCATCCTGAGCATTCACGATATGCCAGGTCCTGGGCTACAGATCTTCTCCCTAGAGTGACTCAAATGAGCCTCACAACCACCTCACAGAGTGGGTTCTAGCATCACCCCATTTCACAGTGGAGGAAATGGAAGCACAGAGCTTCCTGGGCCTCGCTCAAGGGCACACTGCCAGGAGGGCTTGGACCCTGGGGTCTGACTCCCAAGCTGGAGGGTGGGGATGGGTGGTGTGTCGAGGTGGAAGATGGGGCTTACCTGAAGGTGCCCCCGAAGGCTGCATGCGTTTTGGCGACAAAGGCCTGGCAGGAGATGTTGGACAGCCTGATCTGCCCATTGGGGTCCCGGGAGAGCTGCAGCGCAGTGTAGATGGAGACACCCTCAGCCGAGGCGTTGATGTAGCCGCCATCGTAGCTGCCAATAGGGGGTTAATGTTCACCCCAGCCGGGAGCTGACCCAGGCCTCCCCTGCCCCATCCAGCTTCACAGGTGACAATTCCTCATCATCTCCACTTCCCCGAAGTCTGCCAGGCACCCACCAGCCCTCACGTACAGGAGGGAGAGCCGAGGGTCTGTCTGAAAGGCCCAGCCCTCCTGTCCCACCCTCCCAAGGCGGAGCATCCTCACAAGAACCAGTAGAGTAGCTGTCTCCGGAAGTTCAGTCCCAAGGAGGCGTTGGTGATCCTCAAGACCAGTTCCTGTTCCGGCTGGAAGTGGAGCTCCGAAGAGGTCAGCTGCAACTCTGTGACCTTCATCCTGCACGAGACCCCCAGAGCCAGAGTCAGAGCGAGGCACAGTCCAATGAGACCAGGGCCTGCTCCAGCCCTCAGGGCCCGGGGAAACCCACCCAGAGATGGGCAAGTCCCTTCCTCTCCTAGCTCAAGCTTGGGAGGTTGGTTTAGGGGATGAATTCTCTTCCTCAGGCCCTCAAGGGTCTGGCTTGGATTTGGGAGGCTCTGAGATTAGTTGACCAGGGAGCCCTGGCGCCATGGAGGCCACACGTGTTGGGCTGCTAACCTGCATGTCAGCAGGTGGAAACCACCAGCCGCTCACAAGACAAAGCAGAACTCACAGGGCAGTTCTAAGAGTGGCATCGACCCGATGGCAGTGAGAGAAGATTAGATGGTCCCGACCAGGCGCTACAGGTGAGCGTGGTGAGGGAAGATTAGATGGTCCCGACCAGGCGCTACAGGTGAGCGTGGTGAGGGAAGATTAGATGGTCCGGACCAGGCACTACAGGTGAGCATGGTGCTGGCATCCGCTCCCCTTCCACGCCCTGGGGTTACTTGAGCTGGTCTTTTTTTTTTTTTCTTCTTCAATTATTTTATTGGGGGCTCATATGGCTCTTATCACAATACATACATGCATGCATCCATTGTGTCGGGCACATTTGAACATTTGTTGCCATCATCATTTTCAAAACATTTTCTACTTGAGCCCTTGATAATTTATAAATTATTTTTCCATGTCTCTCCCCACACCCACTTCTCTGCTGCCGGTCCCCCAGGGAGGGGGTTATATGTAGATCATTGTGATCAGTTCTCCCTTTCTCCCCCCACCTTCCCCTCACCCTCCTGGGCATCTCCATTCTCATTATTGGTCCTGAGGGATTTATCTGTGCTGGATTCCCTGTGTTTCCAGCTCTGATCTGTACCCGTGTACATGCTCTGGTCTAGCCAGATTTGTAAGGTAGAATTGGGATCATGATAGTGGCGGGGAGGAAGCCTTAAAGACTAGAGGAAAGTTGTTTGTTTTATCAGTGCTATACTGCACCCTGACTGGCTCGTCTCTCCCTTGTGACCCTTCTGCAAGGGGATGTCCAATTGTCTACAGATGGGCGTTGGGTCTACACTCCTTGGCCTTCACCTCCATCATCATAGCTCCGCCCCATCTCCCAGTATTCCACGGCCATCCTAACCAAGATTCTCCTCTTTACCTCCGGGGTCAATCCCCAGCACCTCCAGCCCAGGGTACCCCAGCTCCAGGCAGATCCATTGGTCATTTCCCTAGCTGAGCTACTGGGCCCTGGCTTCCCCTCACTACCAAGGGTCCTGCTTTTCCTGGCCCCACCCACACCTTCTAGGCTCCGCCTACCTGCTTGGCCCAGCCAGTTGGCCGCTTCAGCCTCAGTCTCTGCCCCACTCTATTCTTTTTTTTTTTCTTTTTTAACATTTTATTAGGGGCTCATACAACTGTTATCCCAATCCATACACACATCAATTGTGTAAAGCGCATTTGTACATCGTTTCTCAAAACATTTTCTCTCCATTTAAACCCCCGACATTAGGTCCTCACCCACTCTATTCTTCATCCACTAAGTAGTCTGCCATCTAGCCTTCCAAGACTCCCGGTCACCTAGGCCCCTCCTTCACGCCAGAGGCCCCGCCCCGGAGCCCCACCCCCACCCCGCACTCACTCTGAGATGTTGTAATAAAAGTGTCCCTCGCGACCCCGAAGGTCTGGAATGGTGATGGTCTCCAGCTCGTGTTCCAGAAAGCGCAGCCCCTCCTGCTTCACTGAGACAGCAGGGCGACCCTTAGCAGCGCAGGGCCCATCGCGGCGGGAGGCGGGGGTTGTTGGGGGAGGCCACCCCAGCCCCACGCCACCACCACCACCAGCCCGCGCCCTCACCCAGTTCCAACGCCTGGGAGGTGATGCGAATCTTGCAGCCGGGAAGCTCCGCGTGCGCGCCTGCCAGCAGCGCTAGCAAGAGGGCCCAGCAAAGGGCCATGGCGAGCGGGCCTGGCGGGGAGGGGGTCGCGCGAGTCATCGGGGCCGCCTCGGCCCACGCCTCGGGCGTCCCACCAGGAGAACGGGCTGACCCCATCGGTGTTCTGGAGGCAGCTCGGCGGGGACCAACAACATTGCAACCCATAACATTGCCTCCGTCGGGCAGATGGGGAAATTGAGGCTCCGAGAGCCGCAGCGACCAGCGCTTGCTCCTAGAGGATTGGAGGCCAAGGGAGGGAGGGGCGTCCTCGGTTCCCTCGTGCCCCCAGCGCGTGACGTTTGGACCTCAGCGGAGCAGCCCAACCTCTCCGCCCCGGGCTGGCTGGGGCTTGCGCGTTGTCACGACAACGGCTGCGAGCGCATTCCTGGGGGGGCGGCTGGTCGTCTTCTGGGCCCGGGAGTGGAGGGGACACCCGGCTCCCCCGGGTCCTAAACCCTGCATTGCAGGCCCCTGCCCGGTACCCCCCATCTCAGCGCCCTCCTCCACTGATTCTCCCCGCACCTGGGTTCAGTGGACTACGAGGTGGGGGTGGGGGTGGGGTGAGGTAGGGGCGCCCTTAAACTCACGCAGCCGGGGGACCTGGGACCTGGGACGGCGAGATCACCTGGGCAGCGCTGGGATCCGGGCGACGGGGTCTGGCGGGCTGCGCGGTTCCAGAGCCTTTATACAGCCAGTGGTGCCCCCCCCTTCCCCCTTTTTCCCCTCCTCCCTGGGGGCTGGGAGGGGACAGGGCGGGACGCTGGCAGCCTGGAGGGTGGAGAGGGCGGTACAGGCGAACCAGTGACCAGCCCTGGAGACCCGTGCCTCACCCTTCTCCTCTCACCCCCACCCCACACACAACAAGCCCTGCTTCTTTGCTGTGCCCTTGGTTCAAATCCCAATTCCTCATTGCTTCCTGCCTGGTCCTGGGCAAGTCACTTCACTTTGGGCGCTGAGCCTCAGTTTCCTCATCTGACAAAATGGGGGGGATCACAACAAGGAGCTCTTACTCCTTTGCAGCCCATCCCCAGGCATGAAGGCACTTTTTTCCCTTCTTTACCACATCTCACCAGGCCCCTATCAGCCTGTGCATTGCCGCTGGGAGTCCCTGAAGCCCCTCTGCACTGGGACCCAAGGGCTGAGGACCCTGCTGGCCGACTGGAGCACCTCTGGGGTGGCAGGCCCACAGAATTGGGGGTACTCCCTTGGAGTTGGGAGCTTGCATTTCTCCTTTACTGCCTGCAGCCCCCCAGCCTCCTAGGACAGGGCTGGGGTGGGGGGTGTTATATTATCAAATGGTCACTGATCAATGAGCACATATTGGGCAGCAAGCTCTCACAAGCTCTCTTGTAGGTAAGACACTCAACTCACCCTGGTTTGCCCAGGACTCCTGGTTTTGAAACTGGAAGCCCCCGTTTATGGGAACACCCCCCCACACACACACACATACACTCATACTCTCCCATAAACCAGAACAGCTTAGATTTCATTCCACCTTCTTAAAGCACAAACCCATTGTCAAGTCCATTCCACTCATAGTAAACCCTATGAGACAGGGTAGAATCCCATAGGGAATCTGAGGCTATCAATCTTTATGGAAAGAGTCAGTCACATCTTTCTACTACAGAGCAGCTGATGGGTTCAAACCATTGACCTTTGGGTTAGCACTGCACTACCACCAGGGTTTCTTAACAAACTTAACCAAACCTATTGCTGTGGAGTGGGTTCTAACTCATTGTGACCTTAAATCAACCCTGTGAGGTCAGTACTGTATGGGCCTGCTCTAGCACTGAGGAGCTCTGGTGGGGCTGTGCTGTTGGGCTGTGAAATGTGAGATCGGAGGTTGAAAGTTTGGGCTAAACATCATCCTGTTCAAGGTTTCCCTCGCGAAAACTAGAGACTATTTTGGGGGGTATGTTTTCTATAGCCCGGTCCCTAAATGCTTAGAGTCTTGTGTTTGACAAACCAGGGTTCAAATCCCCACTACACATTTTAGGTGTATGACCTCAGATAGGTTCTTAAACATTCTGAACTTCAATATCAATTCCTCATCCTAACATCGAAACAATTTAGGGATGTCAGAAGGACAAATTAAATGGGATCGTGTATGTAATGACCATGAGCACAAGTAAGTGCTCTGGGGTCCCTATTTTTTCAAATGCTTTTGCATAGTCAATAAAACGCAGGACAATATCTTTCTAGTATTCTCTGCTTTCAGCCAAGATTCATCAGACATCAGCAATGATATCCTATGTTCCACGTCCTCTTCTGAATCCAGTTTGGATTTGTGGACTGCGAATAAGGAAAACCAAAGAATTGGTGTATTAGACTTATGGTGGTGGTGAAGAATATCAGATCTACTGTGGACTGCCAAAAGAACAAACTAATCAGTCTTAGGAGCCCTGGTGGCAGGGTGGTTATACAGTGAGTGGGCTGCTAACTACAAGGTCAGCAGTTCAAAACCACCACCAGCTCTCTGGTGGAGCGATTTTAAACTCGCAGGAACAGTCTACCCCGTCCTATAGGGTTGCTGTGAGTCAGCATTGACTCTGCGGCCGTGAGGTTGTTTTGAGTGATGTAAGGATGGTGAGACTTTGTCTCACTTACTTTGGACGCGTTATCAGGAGGGACCGGTCCCTGGACAAGGACATTTTGCACAGTAAAGTAGAGAGAAGGTCAAGGGGGGAAAAAGCCCCGCCAAGAGGGGTTGACACAGTGGCTGCAACAATGAGCTATAACATAGTCACGATTGTGAGGCTAGAACAAGACTGGGCAAAGCTCTGTTCGTTGTCCACAGTCACTGTGAGTCAGAACCAGCTCCGCGCCACCTCTAACAACCACAGCATGTGCTGTGCTGGCCGTGGGACGTGGCATAACATACATGCCAAATAAGCGCTAGCTGTTACGACCAGGCTTGGCAAAAGTAGCAGAAGAGAAGGAGGCCCTGGATGAGGACACAATGGCGGGGTCCAACACAGCAGTGATTGGGGGGCGGCACAGGACCGGGAAGAGCTGCCTCCTGTTGGGTCCAACACAGCAGTGATTGGGGGGCGGCACAGGACCGGGAAGAGCTGCCTCCTGTTGCAGGAGGGGCTTCCAAAGTCCAGGGGAAAATGGAATTCAAAGATGAGCTTCCCCCACTACTTGCACATGGCCGCGTTGTACATCAGGACCGACTGGAGGGCACCTAACAGCCACAACCCCATGGCCGTGGCACCAACCACAAGCAAAGGAGGCAGAAAGGGTGTGAGAGAGGAACAGAGAAAGGGCTAAGAGCATCCCAGGGAGGAAGTGTGTAAGTGCTGACCTGAGATTTCTTTGAACCCCAGTAACCCTTGGTCCTCTCGGAGCCTGGTTCAAACAGAACACCTGACTGTGGATTCTCTCTCCTCTCATGTTCCTAATGGATATGCAAGCAAGTCCCATCGCCACATCATCTTCAGCTCCTGCAGGGTCTTGTCTCCTGAGAATCACTGTCCCACCAGGAGACCAAGTGAACCAGTGGTTGAACCACTCTGGACTTCAATGTCCTCATCCGTGAACGGGGAGAATCAAAGTTGCTCGTAAGGATTCCATGAGCTGTTCGTCCATTCCGACGACGAAAGAAGCATTGTTTAGAGGAAGGGCTCAAACATTGTTGGCAGCAGCAAGCCACCATCGGGCGGCTTTCCATCGCCCCGGGATTGAAATCCTGCCCCATGGCCTCGTCAGCAAGCATGGGACGGGTCCCTTTCCTGCCACCCTTGCCCCTTTGCTTTCTGCTCCCACCTCACCGGCTGCCCCCTGCCTGAACACATTCTTCCTTCCGGTCAGGGTCTTTGCATTTGGCCTCCCCTCTGGATGGATGGCTTTTCCGCCCAGTGGTTGCCTGGCTGGGGCCTGGCTCTTCTGGTTCTCAGCTGACACACGCTTCTTCAGAGGGGCCCTCCCCGCTGACCTACCAGTGCCTTGGCTGATTTCGTTTCTCGATCATGATTACTATTTACGATTCTGTGGGTTTTGTTTTTGGGGGGCTTATGTTTTTTGTTTGCTCTTATGTTGGTCTCCATGAGAGCTGGGACTTTCTTCAGCACTGTCACCTCAGCGCCCGAAACTTTCCCTGGCACAGGAGAGGACTGAATACTGTTACTACTACTAATAATATTATTGTGAGGAGTTATTATGAGCAGGCCATATGCACCCCACTCCTCCTTGCTAACCTCAGTCCAACTGATTTGAGGCACAGCCTGGGCTGGGTTGGGAGGGTCCCCAGTTCCAGGGACTTTCCCACCAGCCTTCCCCTTCCATCACTGGGGTGTCCCCTCCTCCTGAAAGCTCGATGCTGGCCCAGGAGCCACCCAGCTGGGCTCTGAGTCCTCTTCATTTGGCTTGAGAAAGGAGGGAGCAGATTCCTTCCCGAATTCCCCTCTAGCTTGGAAGAGGGAAGGGGAGGTCCCAGAATTCCAAGGGCCATTTTTCTAGCCTCCATGATCCACAGAGCACAGCCAACAAATGAACAAAAGCCAGCTTAGCGAAGCAGTTAAGTGCTGGGGGTCCAGACCGTCCCTGTCCCAATCCTGATGCCATTTTCCTGACCAGAGGTTGGCAGATGGTTTTCTTAAAGGACCAGCTATCATCATTTTAGGCCTTGGAGGACCTAGATCTGTTGCAGCTGCTCGCCTCGCCGCTGAAACACAGAAGCAGTCAACCATGGTGGTGGTGCTGGACCTGTCCAGGCGATTGCGAGGGCCACCCCACTGCGTTAATTTTGGTAGTGCAATCTGGGGGGCCGGCCCCAATCCCAACTACTAAGTGGCCACCTGCCCCTTCCCCCAGAAGAATTTATTTCAAATGATGGCATTGAATCTGCAGCTCTGGGGGAGAGGGACATATCTGATCAGAGCACACAGGAGCAGATGA